CATCACTCACCTTTGGCACCTGACTGCAACCTAGGGCAACCACTTCACCTTTCACGCCACGGCCGCTCCATTTATAAATTGACTGTATTAGGTGATTTTTTTTTTTTCCTGAGACAGAGTCTTGATCTGTCACCCAGGCTGGAGTGCAGTGGCACGATCTTGGCTCACTGCAACCTCCGTCTCCTGGGTTCAAGTGATTCTCCTGCCTTAGCCTTCCAAGTAGCTGGGATTACAGGCATCTGCCACTATGCTGGGCTAATTTTTGTATTTTTAGTAGAGACAGGGTTTCACCATGTTGGCCAGGCTGGTTGGCCAGGCCACTCCTGTCCTCAGGTGACTGGCCTGCCTCGGCCTCCCAAAGTAGTGGGATTACAGATGTGAGCCAGGGCGCCTGGTTGTAGTAGGTGATTTTTAAGGTTCTTTCCAGCCCTTACCTTCAGTGATGTTTTTCTCTCACCCTCACATCTAATCAATTAACCTGTCAAGCCAGTTATTATAAGTCACCATAATCAAATAATGTTGAAGCCACCATGCAAACACTTTAAATCCATCCATATCCCCCATGCCCACTCATAGTGCTTTGTTCAGGCCCCCATCATTGATCGCCTAAAGTGGGACAAGGATATCTAGTGCTGAGAGATTAGGTTCCAAAGTTAACATCAGAGTACCAAATCACAAATAGGATTAAATGGGCTCGGCGCAGTGCTCATGCCTAAATCTCAGCACTTTGGAAGGTCAAGGTAGGTGGATTACTTGAGGTCAGAAGTTGGAGACCAGCCTGGCCAACATGTGAAACTCTGTCTCTACTGAAAATACATGAATAGGATTCAGTGAGAGGTGTGAGAACACATGGGTCTGGCACAGAAGAAGCACTCAGTGAATGTTGGCTGCATTTGAATCTGAAACCAGCCTCAAGTGACGCACCTGGATCTCATTCCCTAAAAGTTACGAAGGAGGAGTTCACAGGGAAACCCTAGAATTTCGAATGCCCTCTGCCACATGCCCTGCCCCAGACACTAGGTGCTGCAGGAAGACAAAGACTTGGCAGCTTCCCCTAAAGGGCTGACAGTCTAGAGGGGGAGATAGGAACCCCAGTGCACAAAACAAGCATGCCTCAGGCGGCGTCTTCAATGGAAAGACCAGATGGAGAACAGAACAATTATCTGAGCAAATCAGGCAAGCCTGCTGTTGAGGAAAAGGCTTAAGAAAATTTGTCCTCCTGTTTCCTTTGAGAACCAAGGGGTTAGGGCAGCCATAGGAAGCAAAAGTATTTCAGCTCTAGAAACATGGAGTTGTGGTCTGCGCCCTATGATCTTAGGCAAACTATGAGGCTGCTTTTTTATTTCAGTATCTTCATCAGTAAAATGGAAATAGAGTAATACCAGCCTTGCACAAACATACCCACCTACTGGACTGAGTTGTTGTGAGGTTGAATAGAACAATTACGTATGGGGAAAGCAGTTATTAAAGGGGTGACCTAATAGCTAACATAGACAATGGACAATGTGCCTCCTAAGAATGTGCTCTGAAAGCAAATGTTTAGTAATCATAAAAAGCATGTGTAATGAACTTTTTTTTGTTTAGTTAATTTTATTTCCCTATTTTTATTAAATAGAGTTGGGGTCTTGTTATGTTGCCCAAGATGAACTCGAACTCCTGGCCTCAAGCAATCTTCCCACCTCGGCCTCCCAAAATGCTGACATTACAGGGGTGGGCCACCACACCCAGCCTGTACTGAACTTTATAAGGCAATTTCATGTGCATTTACTTTGTTTCCAAAATCCTGTGTAGTATTATCATTTGTTCCTTTTGCACTTAAGGGCTGGGCATAGTGGTTCATGCCTGTAATCCCAGCACTTTGGAAGGCTCAGGCGGGTGGATCACAAGGTCAGAAGTTCGAGACCATCCTGGCCAACATGGTGAAACCCCATCTCTACTAAAAATATAAAAATTAGACAGGTGTGGTGGCACACGATTCTCTTGTGGTTCAAGAGAATCACTTGAACCTGGGAGGCAGAGGTTGCAGTGAGCTGAGATCACACCACTGCACTCCAGCCTAGACAGCAGAGTGAGAATCTGTCTCAAATAATAATAATAATAATAAATTAAAAGTTAAAAAATAATACTGAGATTGAGGGAGCTTAACCAACTCATTCCAGTTCCCACTGTGAGGGCCAGATTTCAGCTCTCTGACTCGCTGGTTCTCTTTCCCTACACTGTGCTGCCTTCTTATTAAAATCCTTATTACCAAAGCATTAATATTATTAACATAAATATTAATAATGTTTGTGACATATGTTTCCCTTTGACCAAGGACACTAAAACATCAAAATAGAAAGTCTGGAAAAAAAAAATGTCTGACATACCAGAATAGCAAGTTCACTTTCTCATATTAAGGAAAAGTAGCTGTCCCCGTCTGATTTACATTTCATGCCATACAGCAGGAAATATTTAAGTTGACAGATAGGATATTTACAACTGCAACAGATACTTGGCAGTTAGTTTTTAACAATTGTTGCAAATGTGATTTATTTGCTGTTATAAAAGGGCATTACTGTGTGAATATGACTCCTGAAATTAGCTTCAGTTTAGCAAGGGGCCTTGACAGCTTGACCTCTTAATATCCTTATAATGATGCCATTTACATTCAATGCTTACTCAAGTCACTCACTGCTAGATTTGTTTGAGAGGAGGCCACTCTAGCAGATGTATTATGTATTTTAACACACAGTGTTGGTGAGTGGGGCAAATGTAGGCCTTGTAAGAGGAAAAACTGTTTAATCAAGTCTTCATGAAAATGTGTTAGTTTCCAACTTCCTACAGTGAAAATGCATTACTGCTAATTACAGCATCCTCCAGAAATACTTCATGTTTTCTCCACAAGACATTTTCATGGCAGGTCTTACATTAAACACGAACATGTTCTGATCCTCTGCAACTTTAGTTTTTAATTTCGCCGGAGCATTATTACACAGGATAAAGATTGGCTGGGCCAGGATCAGGAACTGGGAAGAAGGTAGACTTGGAGCCAGGTAGAATTGGATTCAAATCCCAGCACCACCACTTCCTAACTCAGTGGACTTGGTTACCTCCCTGAACCTCAGTTTCTTCATCTGTGACATGGGCTTGTTATTTTTCAGGCTGCCAGAGAGATCTGAGATGTTTATGAAGCCCCCAGCTTCATAAAAACTGTAGGTACTTGATACATGGGGCCTGTTGTGTTTTTGTTGCTTGTTTGAAGCTCAAACAAATGTCACCATCATGATGCAGCCCTGATGTCATTAGACAAACCCATTCTGTCCTTTCTTTCTGCTTCAGTAGTACTTCGTTCCATCCCATTATTTTATCATATATAACACGGTATTGTTTAATTGGTTATGTATGTATCTGTCTTCACCTTTTTTTTTTTTTTCTTTCTTTTTGAGACGGAGTCTTGCTCTGCCACCCAGGCTGGAGTGTAGTAGTGTGATCTTGGCTCACTGAAACTTCCACCTCCTGGGTTCAAGTGATTTTCATGCCTCAGCATCCCAAGTATCTGGGATTACAGGTGCATGCTACCATGCCTGGCTAATTTTTGTATTTTTAGTAGACATGGCGTTTTGCCGTGTTGGCCAGACTGGTCCCGCCTCAGCCTCCCAAAGTGCTGGGATTACAGGAATAAACCACTGTGCCCAGCCTGTCTTCAACTTCCTGATGGCAGGGCCTATGCCTATTTACCTTTGACTCTCCAGTGACTAGAACGATGATAATCTCTTGAACACTGAACTGAGGAGGATTCCGGGGGTGCTTCTGGATTCATTATGAGAATGGAGGATGACAAGGGCAATGAAGGTTGATTTGCCACAGGAGAGGGAAGAAGTAACATGTGACCTACTTTTATCATTGCCAGTTTAGCACATAGTAGATGCCCAGTAAATATTTGTCAAAGGAATTAATGGACATTACTCAGTTACCTAGCAGTTAACATTAACTTGTAACTAACGTCTATTTTTTAAAGCATTTTTATTTTTATTTTTATTACATCATACCATTCTTCTAATAACACTGTGGTACAGGTAGGATAAGGTGTTATTACCAATTGACAATTAAGAATACTGTGAGCCGGGCGCGGTGGCTCAAGCCTGTAATCCCAGCACTTTGGGAGGCCAAGGCGGGTGGATCACGAGGTCAAGAGATCGAGACCATCCTGGTCAACATGGTGAGACCCCATCTCTGCTAAAAATACAAAAAATTAGCTGGGCATCGTGGCGCATGCCTGTAATCCCAGCTACTCAGGAGGCTGAGGCAGGAGAATTGCCTGAACCCAGGAGGCGGAGGTTGCGGTGAGCCGAGATCGTGCCATTGCACTCCAGCCTGGGTAACAAGAGCGAAACTGCGTCTCAGGAAAAAAAAAAAAAAAAAAGAAGAATACTGTGCGGTTGTAGGATTGGTAAAATAAGATTACCCTGCACTCTCATGAGAAAATGGGGGTAGACCTAAGACTTAGAGGCCAACTATAGGTTTCCCTTAAGTATCATCTTGAGGTTCCCAGAGGGGCTGTCACGGCTTTTTCCAAAATCAGAGCAAACTGCCCTTTCTCATATTCATCACTCTTTTCCCCTCTTTCTGCTCTACTCTAGTTTCCCACTCTCTGAAGCTTCTGTCCGGCCGCATTTTCTCAGTAGAAAACCTGGCACTGACCACCTGCACTGACCTGCAAGCCATGGGCAGAAATATCAGAGTCAACACGAGCTTTTCAAGACTCGGCATCTCTGTCGGATTGTCTTGGCCATGTATTTCTGTAACTTCCTGCAAGAACGTCGAATTTTCTGATTGGAATCAGACTCCATTTTCCAGTTGCACAATGTAGAAACAGAAGCGAAAACATCTACTCAATTAAGACGTGGCCACTGGTTTCACTTAGTCTGATGTAGTTTGGTCTAGATAGGCAGAGTTGGGGCCTTCGCTACTGTTTGCTGATCTCACCCTCACGTCACTTCTACATCTCCTGTTTTAATCAGGTGTGGGCAACAGGCCTTAACCTCGCATATAGTGACCAGCTGGCCCTGACTCAGCTCACCTTATACCTGACAAACGGCCATCTGGATTGCAGTTTGAACACCCTGGAGGTGCCCCGCTTCGTTCCAAAGGAAAAGAAGAAAAACAACCGCATTAGCGCGCTGTCAGTGCCGGTAAGTAAGAGATGCTTCCTGAAGGTTCTTGGTTCAGCAACACTCACTGCCACTGCCCGAGCTCTGTCTAGGAGCCCGGCTCTTTGAGTACAGAAGAAGAAAGGGCCTCAGGCAAGTCACTGGACCTGTCTAAGTGGGGTCTGGGAATGCAAATGTATTGGCCAGAGGAAAGGGAGAAGGCATTCGGAATGAAGCTGCAGTCCGTGGAAGTGCGAAAGAACGTGGGGCTCCCTTCTCCTTTCCCTGGGCAGGTACACCTACACCCATTGCCTCTGCTACCAGCTGTTTCTCACAACACCCATATTTTTCTAGTCCCAGTCTCTTTTGTGAGCTTCAGATTAATGGGTCCAAAATCCTATGGAACATCTCTGCTTAGAATCCTCAGAGTTGGCTGAGTGCAGTGGCTTATGCCTGTAATCTCAGGACTTTGGGAGACTGAGGCAGGTGGATCACAAAGTCAAAGGATGGAGACCATCCTAGCCAATATGGTGAAACCCCATCTCTACTAAAAAAAAAATTAAAAAATAAAAAAATTAGCTGGATGTGGTGGCATGCACCTGTACAGCCAGCTACTTGGGAGGCTGAGGCAGGAGAGTTGCTTCAACCCAGGAGGTAGAAGTTGCAGTGAGCTGAGAGAGATCACCCCACTGCACTCCAGCCTGGGTGACAGAGAGAGACTATGTCTCAAAAAAAAAAAAAAAGAATCCTCCAAAACTGCATTGCATTCGTCATTCTTCCTGTACTTCCTGTTAGTGGGTCAAGCCAGAGGCTGATAAGATAACCCCCAGTCCCACATCCCCTCAGCAAGCAGGTCGTGTTGAGTCTAACTGCTAAGATGCCACTAACCTGACCCCTCCTCTCTCCACAAAGATAGTGTCTTAGTTTCAACTTTTTCCATCTCATACCTGTATTCCTCCTCACTAAGATTCCCTGCCCCATCTGTCCCTTCAGTCTAAACAGACACAGCACTCAAGGTGGCAAGGTGAAAAGCTAGTCTGAGTGTGTTGTTCCTCTGTGTGTGATTTCAATGGACTCCTGTGATCTTCAGGAAAATCCCACTTCTCAGCTTGCTTAAGGAGCCCCATCATGATCCACCTCTTTCCACAGCTACCACCTCCCTTCTCATCACTAGCACCATCAGTGACAGGACTGGGGCCAGAGTCCTGGGGCTGCGCAGGTGATCAACCTCAGCGCCCTGAGTAGCAAAGGGCATAGACCTGTGGGGACAGTGGGTGCTTGGTTGAACAGGCTAGGTTGATCATGGAGAGAGAGAACAAAAGTCAAGGGGACCAGATGCCCTTTGTGCCAGGGTGTATTGAGGACTCTCTGGCCACACTGCTCTCACAGCTGCCAGAGGGTTTCTTTGGCCTTAGAACAGTGGCCTTCACACTGTTTTTTGTTGTTGGTTTTTTTGTTTTTGTTTTTGTTTTTTTTGCAAACGAAGCTCTACTTGAAATCCAAATATGTCAAACAGATAAAAGAGAAACTCTGGTGAATAGAGACCCAACACAAGTGTCCCAGAGATGCCTTTTCCAAGTGGTCTCCTGCCTGTCTGGTGAACCCCTCTGGGTCCAGGAGACACCTCTGGATTTGAATAATCTTTGACTCTTCCCAGGATCTCTGCAGTCACGATAAGAAGAGCACCTGATGTCTTGTGGGGGGCGGTGCTCAGGCAGCCTCCTTCCTCCCCTTCTCATCCAGTGAGGTACCAGCAAGGACCTTGCTCACAGGAATCCCCTTGATCTCGTTCCTTGTAAGAAATGAAGCAGAATTGGTCTGGAGAGGAGAAACAGACCTCTTTTAATTATGACCAGGACCCTGCTAAGAGGCTTTCAGGTCCAACTCCACCTGTGGCCTCCATCCTAACCCGAGGGATGTGCGAGACTCTATGTTCAATGCTAAAGGGAGAGAGAGCAGTGACACTTGAGCCCTTCTGGCCAGTGAACCTAACTCTCTGTCATTTCTGCAAGAAGCTGGGGGTCAGGCATGGTGACTCACCCCTGTAATCCCAGCACCCCTGTAATCCTACTTCTGTAATCAGGCCGAGGTGGGAAGATCATTTGAGCCTAGGAGTTTGAGAGCAGCCTAGGGAACATGGCAAAACCCCGTCTCTACAAAAATATAAAAATTAGCTGGGCTTGGTGATGCATGCCTATAATCCTAGCTACTGGGGAGGCTGAGGCAGGTGGATCACTTGAGCCCTGGAGGTTGAGGCTGTAGTGAGTCATGATCATGTCATTGCCCTCCAACCTGGGTGACAGAGTGAGACTCTGTCTCAAAAAAAATAAAATAAAAGTAAAAAGCTGGAAGCAAAATGGTATTCAGCACAAATTTCCAAAGACAATTAATTGCAGCTTTTAAGTATGTTGCTTCAGAAGGCTATCAGCAGAAGTTGTGCTTTGAATGAGAAGCACTGTCCCATTATCCCCATATGGCCTATAGGTTTCATTCCAAGCTGTAGGCAACACTCTCCTGTGATCAAGTCTTAAACACTTTTAGCAACTGCATGCGCACAAAAGGGAGGCATTATGATCTTCAATAAGGCAAATGCCTCTTCAATCACTGGAGAAAAGCTATGTAGGTTTTCTGATGTAGGAACAAATTGAGAACACACTTTTAGAAAGATATAAACAGATGTTCCCAGCCTTGAGCCACTGTGCCTGTGTTGTGCACACATGCTTCTGTGCATGTGTACACACATGATCAGCGATTTTTTTTAAAAGAAGCATGTGCACAAGCACACACCGCACAATTCCCAAGCAAATCGAAGCCTCCTGAACAAGGGTGAACAGACTATGATGCCATCAAGTTTATGATCAGGCAGTGATCATAAACCCCTTTGAAGATTGAAGAAAAAGAAAAGGCACAGATGAAACCACACTGATAATGAGAGCGCATTCAGAACTAGTGCCCAAAAAATGCTTCCAGTGTGGGCCCTTTTCTTTAATAATATGCTGTATAGGAGGGAAGCAAACACCTGCCTGGACTCTCAGAAGAGCTGTTGTCTCATCTCAGAAACAGGTGGCAAAAGTGTCACTCAGACCCACTTAGACCAGGTGAATGGGTTTCTGATTCACTGACCTCTGCAAAGAACCACTTAAATGTGTGTGAACAAGGCCTGATAAATCATCCCAGACGTGCATGTTTTAGAAATGAAAAGGAATCGCCTAACAGTGTTCTAACTTTCAATTAACGTTCTGTCCAAACTGCATCCATCGTTACCCTCTTCTGTCAGTTTTCACTCTTCCTCTCTCTTTCTGGAAGACTACGATTGGTGACTGTCCAAAAGGGAACATCTCTGCAGACACAACCCAAGTCATTTATACACATTTTAGCAGCACATGATCTGTAATGAATGATTAAGTAAAACCTTTTGTGTTAAATTATGATGTTAATAATGATTCTGTCTTCTGTAATTTATTATAAATTCTCAAATGCTTCGGGTTTGATTTTGATAGAATGCAACAACAACAGAGTTTATGTGATGACTTTATTTTTAGAACTCCTTCTTTGAAGGCACACATTTCCCTGCTACTGCTGCTACTGTAATTATGTACAAAACCAATCACTCATTAGAGTTAGGATACATTATCTTCTAGACAGATGAGGCTAAATAAGCAACACATTAATAATTCAGAGAGCAGTTCATTATGCATGTGGATGCCTGCTTCATAACTGAAGTAAGAACCTCATCAGCCTCTGCCAACCCTTAAACAATAGTTCTGTGTTATTGCAGCCACATTCAAGTTTACGCTTGTTAAACTGCTACTTGGGTTATTTTATCAAACATTCATTTATTTGTGGTCCCTTACTGCCGAGAACAGATTTTGGAAGCTCCTTTTTTAAGTTAATGATTTGAGCAATGGGTGTTATTAATTCTCAGAATATTATAAACATGATTAATTTTCAGGCAGAGATTTATTACATAAGGATTTCAACTATGTCAACTGAAATGCATCACTGTCAAAACAAGTATCATGGCGAAAATAGAATATGTTCCACACTTCAAGTGCTGGTGCTCAGAACTAAATCAATTTAAATTGTGGCTGAAGCAAAATTATATTCTCCAGTGAAAAGGAGTATTTTGAGCTTCCTTTATTTAGCTTGAAGCATTCTTGTTAGATCGTGATTTAGAAAGTTAGTTTAATAAGACTAGACTTCTACCAAGAATATTTTGTCTTTTATTTTTTTCTCCTGTTTTACTAGAAAAGGCTAACCTCTGAAATTCCCACTAATTCCAAATGTGGCCAGTGGAAATTTAGAGTGAAGAATACTGGTCTGGGAGTGAGGGATCATGAGTTCTGATAATCGCTTCTGGCCTCAGTTTCCTCATTTGTAAAATAAAGGAGGGCTAAATGATCCCCGGGGTCACTTGGGGGATTTGATTTTCCAGGGCCTGTAGAAAGCCTGGCCCAGGTACAGCCTCATGTGTTGTGGACGGCTGAAATGGGGACATCTCCTATACGGGGACACAGGAAGGCCCATTTCTCTGTACTACAGGCTTCAGGTTAACGGTCTTTTTCTTGCAGCATCTTTTTTTTTTTTTTTTAGATGGAGTTTTTGTTCTTGTTGCGCAGGCTGGAGTGTAATGGCATGATCTCAGCTCACTGCAACCTCCACCTCCCGGGTTCAAATGATTCTCCTGCCTCAGCGTCCAAAGTAGCTGGGATTACAAGCCCGGCTAATTTTGTATTTTTAATGGAGATAGGGTTTCTCCATGTTGGTCAGGCTGGTGTGGAACTCCTGACCTCAGGTGATCCACCCACCTTGGCCTCCCAAAGTTCTAAGATTACAGGCATGAGCCACTGCACCCGGCTGCAGAATCTTGGTGGCTCACACCTGTAATCACAGCACTTTGGGAGGCTGAGGTGGGTAGGTCACGAGGTCAGGAGATTGAGACCATCCTGGCCAACATGGTGAAACCTGGTCTCTACTAAAATACAAAAAAAAATTAGCCAAGCATTATGGTGTGTGCCCATAGTCCCAGCTACTCAGGAAGC